AACCGAAGACCGAGGTCATATACCATGTGCACCGCCGAAACCGGCCGACCAAAATGGTGAGGCATCCTCAATGTTGGCCGTGCCGGCGGGGGCGTCGCTGTGTGCATGTGCGGCACCTTGGCGTTGTCAATGGTGGCGCCGTCGGCGGCGGCCATGCGCTCGCCCATCTCGACGAGGAGGCCGTAGGCCGCCTCGCGCGCGCGCTCGTTGTTCTCCTTGCAGCAGATGACGACCTCGCTGAGGATCGACGGGATGAAGTGCAGCGACGTGTCGGGGACGAACGGCAGCAGCGCCGAGAGCGCGGCGAGACGCTCGCGACGCGCCGGCGCCGACACCTTGTCGGCGCTGGCGATGAACATGGCCTGCAGCTCCGACGTGCGCGCCTCGAGGGCGGCGCGGCCCGTCTCGGACTCGGCGAGGCGCGGGATCAGCTTGTAGGCCTTCTTCTGCAGCTGCGGCTGGTCCTGGCGGACGATGGTGACCGAGGCCATCTCGAAGAGGGCGGCGAAGCTGTCGCGCGGCAGATAGACGGACATGGTGATGATGAGGTCCATGAGCGTGTTGGTCGTCGAGGGCGCCTGGTCCTGGCCTTGCTTCTTCTGCGGCGCGGCGGCGCCCTTCTCGGCGGCGTCGGGCGCCTTCTGCAGCTCGGCGGCGAGCATGGCGCTGACGCGGTCGAAGGTCTCGCGGAGCTCGGCGGCGGGGGTGATGCTGAGGAAGGCGTTGATCGACAGCAGGATGGGGCCGCGGCTCTGCGGCAGCGTCTGGGTGTAGACGTTGAAGAGCACGGCGAGCATGTTGCCGGCGTAGGTGCCGAGGTACGCGAGGTTGGCGCGGGCCGTCTCGCGGGGCACGCGGCTCTGGCGGACCATGTCGTCGGCGGCGTCCTCGAGCTCGGCGATGGCCTGGTTGGACTCGATGAGGGTCTTGAGGGCGCGGCAGACCTCGAGGCGCAGCTCGACCTGCTTGTACAGCAGGTTGGCGAGCAGCTCGGCGAAGCTCTGGTCAAAGGCGGCGGCCAGGTCGAGGGGCAGGTCGCAGTAGCCGGGCAGCGTGGCCCAGATCTGCTGGACGAGCGTCTCGTAGATCTTGACCTCCATCGTCTTGGCGGCCTCGCCGTGGTCGAGGACGCGCTGGAACATGAGCTCGCTGAGGGGCACCATCTCGGCGCGGAAGTGGGCGAGGTGGGTGTTGCTGACGTAGTCGCGCAGCAGCGGGAACATCCAGGCGCGGCCGGGCTGGCCCTTGGCGGGGGTGGCGAGGTTCAGGGGCAGGACGGAGAGGACAGCGTCGGGGCCGACGGCGCGGATGGCGCGGCCGATGACCTCGTCGGCCTCCTTCTTGCCGCCGAAGGAGTCGTTGCTGCGGAGGTCGCCGACTGCCCGGAGGATGGGTCAGCATGGGCGGGGGTTGGCGCGCCAGCGGAGCGTGTCGGAACATGGCGCCGAAGACGTTGAAGCTCTCGGGCCAGGCGGCCTGGTACTTGACGCTGAGCAGCGTCTCGGCCGCCTTGGCCACCTTGTCGAGCGTCTTCTCGTCGTAGACGGAGGGCTCGATGATGACAGAGGCGGGGACGCAGTTGGCGAGGAAGGAGACGAGGCACTCGGAGGCGGAGATGCGAATGTTGTGGGAGGGGGACTCGAGGAAGGCGAGGACCATGGTGAACAGGTCGGGCAGGTTCTGGAAGGTGTCCTCGGGCTCGAGCTGGGCCGAGACGTCGTAGCCGCGCGACAGGATGGCGAGCCAGGGGGGGATGAGCTGGGTGTCGTTGGCGGCGGGCCGCAGCTCGGAGATGATCTCGATGAGGCGCGGCAGCTTGGAGGACGCGGCGGCGTCGTCGGCCGCCATGCCCGCAAAGATCATCTCGAAGATGTCAAAGGTGGCAACGGTCATGTATTCGCCGCCGGAGCGGGCGATGCCGAGGAGCAGCTCGCAGAGGCTCTCGATCTTGTTGCTGGGCCAGCCACCGCTCGCCGAGGCGATCGTCTTGACGAGCTGCAGGGCGTGGAGCAGGGCCGGGTCGTGCTGGGACTCGGCCGAGGCCTTCTTCTGGGTCTTGCGGGCCTGGGTGGCCTTGGCGGCGAGGTCCTCGAGGGTGGCGAGGGCCGTGTGGGCGCACATGTCGGCGGCCGGGTGGTCGAGGGACGGGCTCGGCGGCGGGTTGGTGAGGACCTTCTTCAGGGCGTCCTGGGCGCGCTTGCGGATCTTGGGCTTGGGGTCTTGGGCGAGGTTCAGCAGGCCGGCGACGGCACGGCGGGGGCCGATCTGGGTGACGCCGAGATCCCAGGCAGGGAGGTCCTGGGCGAGCAGCAGCGACTCGAGGCAGCCGATGGAGGCGCGCAGCAGCATGGCCTCGGCATCCTGGAGCAGCAGGATGGGGGCGAGGAGGGTGAGGATCTGGGTGAACTTGGAGCGCAGCAGAGGCTGCGGTGCGTACGGTGTGACGACGTCGAGGAGGTAGACGACGGACGAGGTTGTCTCCGAGTTGATGCTGCCGCTCTCGATGGACTGGCTGAGGAGCCCGAGCAGGGCGGCGAAGTAGCCCGTGGGGGATGGGGGCGTGTTCTGTTCTTTGAGGGTCGCATCGACGGCTTGGAGAACGACGACTCTCTGTTGAAGAAGGCTGTTAGCAGATGTTGCCATCTCGGGATCAAATCGTCGGGCTCGAAGGCCACACAGTACCCTCTGCTGGCTCTGCAGACCCGGCGAGCGGATCTTGTCGAGCTTGTCGTCGAGTGTCGGGGTAGCCATGGTGCTGGCCATGCTGGGTATATGTAGATTTTCTTTTTATGTTGGTGCCAGCGTGCGCAGTCGACAGGGCGGCGTCTTGGACATCCGACGCGGGACTCGGGACGCTGCGGAGGGAGGGGTTGGTTTGTTGAGGGTGAGTCTTGTCTCGTCTGGACCCGACTCGACTCAAAACTGGTAATGGGCGGACGTCGTCTCGGTGAGCGTCTCGATCCTGCTGCGTCGTTGGGGCCTGGGTCGTGCCTCCCAATTTTTTTCCTCTGAGAAAAATCCTTATCGCAGCACCCCGCCCCGATAAGGGCCCATACAGTGCGTGCAATATCCACATCATCCACACTGTCTCTGCCTCCACTTGTCCTTAGCTTCCACAACTTGGCGTCCGACTCGACTTCCAACTTGGCTTCCACATCACAGAACGAACGGGCATATGCTTCACATACTATCCCTTCGAACCCGAACTTGATCTCAGTACAAGCAAGCGCCCCACAAGCCGTATACCGCCTGCATAATCGGGTTTAGCGCTGCTACATTTGTTAACCTTGCTCAGTACCTAGAGTCCTACCTCATTCTAACGTAATCTATCTGAGATCCTCGCTATAAACCCAGTACGCCTGATATTATTAGGTGGGCTATAGTACTATAGCTTATTATAAATACACTGTGGGCTAGGTGCATGATTTGATTAGCTGTCAAGCTCATTTCTACCACGTTAGTTGGGTCCTTCCAGTACCTATTTTTTGTACATGAGATCAATTTCGGGTTCAAAGGGATACGTCCATACATCTCATTGCTCATAATAGTTCCTACAAATACAAACACCGACCCCAACGCCCCCAGTGACTCCTTCCTCGACGTTTACACCTCCGTCTCGACGTCGGGCTTCCGTCCGTCGAGCGCCCCCAGCTTCTTCACCTTTCTCATGGCGAACAGCGCCTCGTTCTTAGCAAACTGCATGTTCCTCACCGGCCGCCACTGCATCAGACCCCGGTGCTTCCGGTGCAGGTCGCGGCTGTGGTCCTTGTACTCCTTGTACGCGTCCAGCGGGCTGTTGCTCTTGGACGCCCGCTCGTGCAGCTGGCTGTCCGTCGTCCGCGTCGTGTCGCCCGACGGCCGCGTGCCCGCCGATGACCGACGTGGGTCGCTCGAGCCCGACGTGACCCCGCCCTCGTTCGACCCCCCGCGCGACAGCGTCTCGCCGTCCGAGATGCCGAGGTCGGGGTTGCTGTTGTCGTCGTCCTCGTCCGAGTTGCTGATGTCGTCGTGGTTCTCGTCATTGTTGAGGTCCACCTGGCTGCCGTCCATCATGTCCTTCGGGTCCGTCCCGAACGCCCCCGTCCAGTCCGTGCCGTCCTGGGCCAGCCACTTTTCCTTCTCCTTCTCGTCGGCCTGCGCGAGCACGTCGCGCCCGTGCG